AATAGCTAACATTCATATGATGCTCCCTTTGTTCCAGGTACTGTGCTAAGTGCTGTACAATACTTATCTCACTTAACATACCAGGTATTACAAAGATAAAATGCAAAAATGTCCTCCAGGAGTTTACATTCTACTGAGGGAAAATGCCATATATACAGAGAAGGAAAAACAAAACATATCCAAAATGATTTGGTGTGGAGCTCAGAATCAGGAAGAGTCTCTTTTAGGAACTAGAGATTCCGTGAGATAGAAGAAAAAGAAAAGCATCCTACTCTATGTAAAGACAGAAAGATAGGCAATGGAATGCAGCGCGTGAAGAATATCGGTAAGTCACTTTGGTTGGAATATGGTGTATGTGAGTGAGAGTAAATATCTATCATCAGCCAAAAAGGTAGGTTGGAGTTAGATTATGTTGAGTTTTAAATGCCAAACAGAGGAATTTTTATTTTATCCTAGAGTCAATGTGCTGTTGCTGTTGTTTGTTCTTCATTCTGGAAAAGGACCATGGTATCGGGGAAGTGATACTATGATATGCAAGTAAATTAGATTTAAGTGAGGGAGGAGCCTCACTTTCTCCTCCAGCACCATCTGGATCCAGTGGCAAGGTATAGATTGATAGAGAGCTACTGAATGCTCAGATCCATGCTTTAGGAATATCAATATGGCAGCTCTGTGGAGAATGAATTGATGGAGGGGAGGGGTTGAAAGAAAGGAGAACAGGTGGGAGGCTGCTGCAATGGTCCAAGTAATGGAGAGGTAATGAGGGCCTGCATTGGGGTGGTCACTGTCGAGGAAGAGAGAAAAGGACATGTGATGTGAGAGAGGGCATGAAAGTAAATTTGACCCTTCATTACCATCTTCAGACATTCTACCTTCCAGCTAAGCTGGACTACTAGCAGTTTGATTAACTGTACAGTCCATCTCTCACTTCTACACATTTGCAAAGGCCCAGAATGCACATTACCTCTTCGTTTCCAGCTCTTGGAATCTTTACCTTCTCACAAGAGCCACCCTCTCCTCCCCAGCTGTTACTCCAATCTCCCCTCTCAAGTGACTAAGTATTCATTTATCTGTGAATATCTTGTATCTCTCTCCTCCCGAGTGGAATGTAAACTCCCTAAGTGCAAGAGCTCTCTAATTTTTTTTTTTGTATCTTCAGCATCTGGTACAACTCCTTGCAAATGAGAGGGCTTAACAAATGTTGGTTTAATGGAATTGAACATGGACACATAGGATAAGAAAGCATGTGCAATCTATACCAATGGAGCCAAAACCCACATTGATGGGATCACAGATCCATTGAAGACATTAAAGTATGGAAATCTAGATGAGGTTTCTATCATAGAGAAAAATTTTCAATATAACAATTCCTTGTGGTTTATGAGCAATCTCCCCTTTACTTGTGGATTTAAAATATTCTCATTGATTCTACCCCCACCCACTCAACATTCACACCTTCCTCTTATATTTAGCCATTGCTCGCCAACCACTTTGACCTCATATAGTAGCAAAAGTATAGTAATTTAATTAGTAAAAACATGACTAGGTGATGGAGCAGGCAAGTAACAGAAACAAAGGCAAACCTGAATTATCTTTCTCCCGGGGGAAAGTCCATTCACTCTCTATTCACTCCCTTGTTGCTGGACAGGAAATCAGGAAGCTGACTTATCACAAGCCAACCATCTCCCCAGGAAGCAGGATTAAGTCATTCATAGCATGTTCAACTGGGTTCACTGGGCTTGATTCATGCCTTAAATGATCCTTGGAACTCTGGGCTGTGATTTCACCATCATCAACAGAATAGTGGAAACTACCATCACCCTGCTCCTTGGCTCTGACTGTCCTCCAGGTGTGCCTCTAACATTAGGGAAAAGGAGAACAGAAGAACCCTCAATGTCTCTAAGTCAAGGACAGAGGAGTTGTGGTCAGCGGGGAGTCTCCTAGCTTTGCATCCGCTTACATCCTTTCCCTCCTCCTTCACCTTTATCTTTACTTCCTAACTTAAACTTGATGCCATATGTTCCAGCGTCATCCATCACTGAGGAGTAAGTCTCTCTAATTAGTGTTTACACTAAGAGCTGTGGATCACTGCTGGCTGTGCTTTGCTCAATCTGAGGAGACCCTCTCCTACTGAAGTAGACATTGGGCAAATGCATCCAAATTGCAACATACACCTAGGAATCCTTGAATACTTCTTACCTAGGTCTTTTAATGTTTCCCCCATCATTTCCTGAAACTATGCTTTTTTTTTTTTTTGCTTTTTCTCATAAAGAGTATTACCTTGTCCTGATAATTGGGACTGTCTTCCCAAGGGGACACACTGTTCTCTATGGTATCTTTAAAGGAGAAGGGACAATTTGAGAATATCATTCATATGACCACTTCTGAAGCTTGAGGGTCTTTGGTCTTTTTACTGTGTACATTGTTTCATATGATTTAGAGTTGGGAGGGAACCTTATTTTACACCTGAGACTGGTGAGAGGAAAAAAAGAATAACCATAAAAGCCCATGAAGCAGTCAAATGAGAGAGCCATATGGGATGTGTACTCAAGTATTTGACTCAGCATTATTTGGTCCAAAGTACAAACAACTCTCTGGCATGTCCAAGCATTTTGTAACAGCACTTTACTGTTAAAAACAAGTAATTGCACAGTCCCCAAGGCATGTAGCTATATCCACAAATACCCCTAGGAGACAGAAACAGAAGAGCACAAAAGTGGGTTGAATATATTGGACTTGACCCTCAGAAAGAAGGCAGGATAGGAAACAGTGGGGATCAGAGGCTCTACAGCCCACTACCAGTCAAAGGAATGTTTCATTCATCCATTGCTCCTCAAATTCTCCTAAGCTCTTGTCAGAACATTTTCCATTCTTAAAAGAAGACACCTGAAAAATTAACATGAACATCGCATTTTTCAAATTTTGCTGCCGAGTTTTTAAAGCCATCCTAACTCCACCTATTGGGGATTTTCCAGTTACTTAGATTCACCCCCAATTTGGGATAAATGTAAAAAGAAGCAACTGGAAAACTTCTTCCTGTCTGTGGCTAATGTGATGGGAAGGGATAGGATTTCATCCCTATTTCTGTCATCAAGGCTGTCATCAAAACCTCATCATGTTGAGCAATTTAAATGGGGGGGGTTGTTGTGCTGTAAAATATTCGGCTATCACCAAAATGCATAAGGTTCTCCTTATGACATTTTTGGTACTGTTCTGAGGTTAGAAACAAGCAACAGGCACTTCCCACTTCATCAGAAATATTTAAACAGCCCTGGGTAGATGTGAAATACTCACATGTGTCTTATTTCTAACCACAGTTGATGATGGTGGGGAAAAGACATGAGGATTCCAGGTCTATATAACCACTGTTCCTCTCAAAAAGAAGAGCAAGGAATCCTGCCCCAATGGTCCTCTACAGCTTCCAAAAGTAAGAATAAAAGGATTTGTTTTTCTTTAATTACTCATGTTTTCTCCAAAATACCCAGACTCCCTTTTCTCTTTCTTTCTTTTGTTTTTTTGTACCTGTGTGAGGCAATTGGGGGTTAATTGACTTGCCCAGGGCCACACAGCTAAGTAAGTATTAAGTATTTGGATTTGAACTCAGTTCCTCTTGATTCCAGAGCTGGTGCTCTATCCACTTTGCCACCTAGCTGCCCCCTTCCCTTTTCTATTTCACCTACTGCAGAGAGAAGAAAGTGAAGGAGAGAGAGCGTAGTGCCAGACAGAACCAACTGTAACTAAAGGGTAGCCTCAGGGCTGCATAACACTAAATATGGGGTTTTTAAAGATTACACTTGAGATTAAGTATATGTTTGGTCAACAGGGTTGGTCCCTGCACAAAACTGTGGAATGTGAAGTTTTTTCCTATCCCAAGCTTCCTCTTTTTTTTCATCCTTTTCTGCCTTCATGCCCCTTCAGGTGCCTACCATCCTCCTGTTCTTCCCTTCTCTACCTAAAAAACTTAGCTTTCAGGATAAACGCCATAAAAATTAGTTCTACCACTTCTCTCAGTAATGAGGTGTGGGGCTATTTTTGTGGAGTTTTTCATGATTTTTGGTTACCTAGTTTGCTTTTGGTTGTTTCTGTTGTTGATATAAGAGAAGGTTCAATGAGGAGAGTGTGCATTGGGAATTGACTGGTTTTTTTTTAAGGTATCAATAAAAATGTTAAAGCAAGCTATAAATGACAAGACAAGCTTCACATCTCTCAAGTATATCTGAATTTTAAGCAGGGATGAAGTGTTGAACCAAAGGAATGAATCTCTAATTATGGAATTTCAAACACCAATGTAAAAGTACATGGGAGCTGTACAGGGAAATCTTCTCAAAGATGATACCTTAGCTTGTGGGAAAGTGAAGACTCCAGGAAGTGGTCATGAGGAAGTAATATGCATTCTGGGCCAATGCAAACGTATGGAAGTGGAAAATGGACTGTCCAATTAGTCAAACAATTAGTAGTCCAGTTTGGCTGGAAGGTAGAATGTCTAAAGATGGTAATGAAGAATTAAGTTTACTTTCATGTCCACAATCCCTACAATCAGGGCCATGTGGAGCTGGGGGATGCTTGAGATCAGGTGTTCTGAGATGCAGTGGGCTTTAAAGTGAATTAGGTGTCCACACTTAATCTGGCATCATTATGCTGAGTCCTAGGAGTGGAGAAGGGGTCCAGCAGGCTGCCTAGAGAGGGGCAAATTGATAGGGTCAAAGCTCCTTAACCTATTAGTGGTAGAATCACTTATAGTGACCGGTGCACTTCCAGCCTGAGTGAGATTAGAAATACCTAGTCTCAAAAAACAAACAAACCCAAAAGGTGGGTATGTACATATACATATACATACATACATATATATATATATATAATGTTATATGGCCGGGGGGCAGTGTTTCTCAGTGTTTCAAAAATGAATGAACACCAATTTCTATTATTCTGTTTGCATATACGGCCAACCCTGCTGTTAAATACATCCCCCTCCCCCTCTTTTTTGGGGATGGAAAACATACCGATCTGCAGAAGTTGGAAGGGCAAAACCTTGGACGCTTTACATTCTTGACGGTCTTCTGCTGCTGCTTGAAGTCAATGGACCTTTCACAAATGCCTTGGAATCGCCGAATAGCAAGCGGATTCTGTGACAGACTAGATGATAAATACGATATTGCTGGTCAATTACCTGACAAAGAATAGCTCCATAAATCAGCAAGCTAAAAGCTCGCACCATGGTGAGAGGCAAGGGCAGCAAGAAAGCTAACGCTATACATGCAGCCCCGCGGAGAGCAGAGGGAGCAGGGGCAGCCTGAACCCAGATGCGGGGCCGGCTAATCAGGCCCATTCTAACTGCGCCTCGCCGAAGGGGAAGTTCCCGCCGCAGGGGGCTGCTCTCTCTGGTTGCAGCTGCTGGCTCCCAGCTCCGCAGGTGGGCCTCGCACGAGCGCCAGCCTACTCTCTCTGTGGCGAGAGGAGACTCGGGGAGGGGGCGTAAAGCGGTCCTTGTTCCCATCTGTGGCAGCCGGCCTTGGCCTCTGCAGTCCCACCTGGTTCAGGCAGGGCTCTGAACGGCGATCCACAGGGTGGGTGAGTGGGCTTGCGCCCGCATTCCATCCCCGTACCACTCAGATCTCTTGTGCTCCTATCTCCGTGGAGCCCAGATAACAGCTCGCGGGCCTCCACCACTTCCTCCACATGGGAGAGACTCCACTGGGTTTGATTTTGTCACAGACAACCTTTCTCCATTCGGCATTACACACTGATGGTTTCTCCCCAATAAGCCTGGAGTTGAGGAGGTGATTGAAAATAGGTATATTTATGTTCTCTCGGCAGAACTTTATTAGTGGATCCCACCCCAAATCATTGGCTCCTCTCCCTTGCAGAGAGATAGAGGAAAGGAGAGGGGAAGGTAGGGGAGATGAGGGGAAAGGTAAGGAGAGAGGAGAGGAGGAACAAAAATTCTGGTCGTGAAATGTTAGCTCTAGAGCTCTAAGGTGCCTCAGAAACCATCTAGAGTGACCAATCCCTTTGTTTTAGAGATAAAAAAACTAAGACCCAGAGGGGAATCCAACACACAGGTGGCAGAGCCCACCAAGACTCAAATCCAATAAACAAAGTCAGGTGAATATTTGGCATATTTTTCTGGAACGAAACTTCCTTCTCTCTCCTCTAGCCAAATGTAATAGAAGAAATTCTTTAAAACAAAAAAAACAGGATATAACATTTTAAATTAAGTGAAAAACTATAAATTACTTCCAAACACTCTTCCTCTGTGTAATCCACACTTTCACCAGAATACAAACCAATGGCCAAAGAGCCGAAATATCTGGTAGTGTGGTTGTTTGTCATCCAGAGCATTCTTCCATATCAATTCTTGCCTATGTGGAATTTCCCTTTTGTGTTCATAGTCACACAAGCATGTCTAAATGAAAAACACACCTTTCCGGGCCTGCTAACAAAATCAATTTCTCAGCAGGAGCGTGATAGCTTGTCTATGATCACACATTGAAATGCACATTTGCATGCTAATTACCCAGGAAGCCCTTCCAGATCACTGAGGTGTTATTGAAAGGCTGGGTAAGAATTCTAGAACTCTAGTGTGAAGCCAAAGGGCAAGAGCAGAAAATCACAATGGTCTAGACCAAGGCAACCATCATGTAATCATCTAAGAGATTTCTTAAAAATCCACTTTAGCCGATCCACCTTGATTACGTGTCATGTAACCCAACCTTGGAATTGTGTTAACTGCCCAGAGCAACAATGGGGTTGCAACAATATCCTTTCAGCATCACTAGTAAGCGCAGAATATGCAAAGCAGCTTTTCTTTCAGAGTCTCAGCTGTACTGGATAGGTGATTTTTACAAGGAAATACAAACCTCAAAACACATTTATGAACAGTTTCAAGGGCCCGATTCATCATTACACTAATTTCTGAAACTTGTTTTCAGGAAGAGTGGGGATAGAGAGGCATTCCTTTCTAATTGAGAAAACTAGAAACCAAATCTCACCGCACTAAAAGCAAACCCATTTTTCAGCTGATTTTTTTGTTCTGTTTAAAGTTACTAAATGTAGAAACACAGGAATCTGTTTTCTGTCTCAAGACGTGCATATATTAGCAATAAACAGCTCCTTTTGTTACCCTTCTTTCTGCCTGCCTGCTTCATTTTACGCTCATTATCTCAACAACTATGATTTTTTTTAAGGGAAGTGTTTTATTTCTTCCATCTTGCCCTTTTCCTGCCTCTTATTTTTGAGGGATGTGAAGCCCCAGAGTACGGCTAAGATGTCAGTAGGATGACTTCTTACTGTTTTGGTGACTTTGACTGACGGTGTCTGTAGCGTTCTTTTGGTTTTTTTTTCTGTGTTGTCCTGGCCCCAACTTAACTTTGAAAGTTAACTGACTGCTGACTTTGCTAAATATCATGACTCAGTGGAAAAAAAAAATGGGTGTGTTCACAGAAAGTCTAAGTCTAATGTTCTCTGTTGTTACCCAGAAATACCCCAAGAAGCATTTAGTCCTATGGTTTAGTGTAGATTATCGGCTGGCTAGTCCCTCTTTAAAGCACTATTGTTAGCGTTCTCAATTGGGGGTTTTATAATACGTGTATCTTAGTGTTCCTAACAATTTCAAATATTTTGATGAACTATTCTTTACCTTCATGATATCAGACTGAATAGGATCACAGAGGTGGAAGGGACTTTGGAGAACATCTAATATTGTTGTTCAGTAATTTTTTTAGTCATGTCTATCTCTTCATGACCCCATTTGGGGTTTTCTTGGCAGAAATACTAGAGTGGTTTGTCATTTCCTTCTTCAGCTCCTTTTACAGATGAGGAAACAGAGGCAGAGTTAAATGACTTACCCAGGGTCACCCAGATACTAAGGGTCTGAGGCCAGATCCTGAACTCAAGATGAGGTTTCCTGACTCCAAGCCCATCACTCTTTCCATTGCACCACCCAGCTGCCCCAAATATCTATTATTTCCTCCTCATTTTTAGGTGAGGCTCTGAGAGGTTATCTGATATGCCCAAGGTCACACAGGTTGTATGTGAAAAAGAACTGGAACCCAGTGTTCTCTGACTCCAAATGCAGAGCTGTCACCACCATTCCACCTTGTATCTCTTCAACGCTTCTCATAAATAGCAATTAAGACCACAAATGGGATCAGATCTCCTGTCTGGGGGGATTTAGAAAAATAGCATGATATGTTTAGTACAGGCAGCTAGGTGGTGAAATGGATAGAGGGCATTGTTGCTCATAATTTGTTCTTGAAGAGGACCAATGACATCAGGGAGGTGAAATCTTGACTTGCAAGTGAGTTGGATTTAAGTGAGGCTGGGCTGTGCAAAGTCATCAGTATCACTTTCTCCTCCACAGTCATGAGTCCAGTGGCAAAACATAGGTCAGGATCATTGGTAACAGCCCCAGATGCAGTGGGGGAAACCCTGGCCTTTTTAAGCTAAGGTCTTTCTCAGGTCTCAGTTTGTCCGAGGCAACAACCTTTTGGTAATTCAGTGATTTAAGCCTGGAGTAGGGAAGGCCTGAGTTCAAATCTGGCTTTAGACACTTAGGAGCTGGGTCACCCTGGGCAAATCGAGTAACCCTGTTTGCCTCAGTTTCCTCATCTGTAAAATGAACTGGAGAAGGAAATGACAAACCACTCCAGTATCTTCGCTAAGAAAACCCCAAATGAGCCACAAAATCAGATACGCCCGAAAAGATGGAACAACGTTTTCAGTATGATACCTTGTAATAAGTTTCCTACAGAGGTAGGAAAGTTTCTTACAGAAACTTAGATGTCACCTAGTCCAATCCCCTCTTTTTACAGATGAGGAAGCCCAGAGAGGTTAAGTAACTTGCTTGAGTCCACACAGCTAGTAAGCGCAGAGCTGGAATGCAAACCTACAATCTGCTAACTCTGAGTTCCTGCTTCTTCTCACTGTACTGTGTGGCTTCCCAAGAGAATAAGTGACATACAGAAACGAATGCAGGTCTTCGAGGGAAGAGACAGCCGTGGTGTTTGATGTTTATTGAGCAGTATATAGATCAATCATGAATAACAAATAAGGGTTACTATGACCTTTTTCTTATGCAAAATTATGAGCCTCTAAGAAGTTTTTCAAAATTATTTCCACGAGTTGACTTTTTATATCTTAACTGTTGTCCCTCAATCCCTAAATAAGGAAAGCGTGAACTGCAGCATCCATTTTCCTCTGTCTCTGGCTGTGCAAAGCCGCACCTCAAAAACTCCATACAAAACGAGCTTCGAAAATCTAGAAGTGCAAAAGCTTAGAGGTATCAAAACTATCGTGTGACTCCTATTGGATTCAACACTTCTAGAATTGCAGGGTTTTAAAGCCTCACAGGTCATTCAGGATCTAGTCTGATAGCTCAGTTTCAAAGACTAAGGAAGTGAGAACTATCCAGAGAGGTTAATGGTCTGCTCAGAGCCATGTGGAAAGTTTGAAGGGTTCTAGAACCACATGTGCTGATGTGCAATTGTGAGAGGAAGCATGGAGAGTAAAAAGCATGGTAGGTCTGGGAGTGAGGAGAAACCTGGTTTTGGAGCCTCACTGCTGACACTTACCAGCTTTGTGACCATGCATGGGCAAATCACTTACCCTCTCTAAGCCTCACTTTCCTCATCTGCAAAATGGGGATGATAACACCAGTAGTTCTTCCCTGAGGAAATCATTTCCAAGGAAGAAATGACATGGCTTATGTAAAGCACTTTTTAAACCTTAAAGCACTATATAAAAGTCAGCTATTGTAATTTGCATTAAAACACATTGCCTCAACTTTATTACTAATAACAGTTAATGTTAAGAGAGTGCTTTACATTTTTTAAGGTATTAATATTTGTTTCTATATTGCCTTTATTTTCCAGACTGCACCATCCCCTCTTCTTCTCAAACAGCCAACCCCTGGAACGGAGAATAAAATTGAAAAAACAAATCACTTCTACAAAACCTATTGACATATCACCCAAACCCAGCATTATTATGGGCAGTGTTTCACACCCATCACTTGGTACTTCTTCAAAGAAGGGAAGGGGGGGAGGGGATTTTCTTATCTCCTTTAGGAGGTCAAAATTAGTCATTATCATTTCAGTTTCAATGTCGTTGTCATCGGTGTAGATATTATTTTCCAG